GCATGGTGGCGCACACCTGTAATCTCTGCTACTCAGGAGGCTGAGGTATGAGAATCACTTGAACTCAGGAGGCGGAGGTTGCAATGAGCCAAGATCATGCCACTGCCTTCCAACCTGGGTGACAGAGTGAGACTCCATCTCAAAATAATAATAATAATAATAATAATAATAATAATAATAATAATAATGTTATGGTTCTGAAAGGGTGGTCCAAGGACCAGCAGCAGCAGTAGCAGCTGGTAACTTACTGGAAATGCAAAAAATCTCAGGCACTACCCCAGACCTAGCATATTAAGAGTCTGTGAATCTTGCTCAGTCTAGAGCACCATTTGTAGAAGAGTTGGGTTAAATTTTACCCCATATATATAAAAGCCTTTTTCTAAGACAGAGGAGACAAGCACAATGTGACCCTTAAATAAGCTGAGAAGATAGAACAAAAAGCTTGGGCTTACATATGCAGTATTTCAAAGTGAATTTCATAAAAAAGAATCATCATTATCTAAAAATACCCTCAGGTGATATCTGAAGCAGTTAGCACCGAGATGCCTAAAAAGCAGATGTAATCTTCGGATAATGGCATCTATTTTCAGGTACTTTTCTAGAAGAGACACCAGTAAAATTCAAGAAACTTCCCAAGATTCCATCCAGTCATTCTTTCAAATGTTCTAGACACTGAGGATATAGCAGTGTACAAAACATGCAAAAATCCTTCCCTCATATGACTTCTATTCTGATGGAAAGGTCGAACATTAGACAAGAGAAATTAAACAGATTGTAAATTTAGCCGTAGTATGTGATGAGGAGGGAAAAGCAGGAGAAAGGAATAGGAATTGTCTGGGAGCTATAATTTTAGATAAAGTGGTCAGGGAGCCCCCATTCTGTCCACCCCCTGGCCCCAAGAAAGTAGCATTTAAATAAAAACCTGCATGAGGTAGGCAGGAAATCATGAAGACATCTGGGGAAGAGTGTTCCAGGCAGAGGGAACAGAAAGAGAAAAGGTGGTTTATTCAAGGAGTAGCTGGAAAGCCACTGTGGTGGAGGTGGAGTAAATAAAGAGGAATGCAGGAGCTGTGTAAGGTATTTCTAGATATGCGGATCTAATGCATAGGTATGGATATACATAGAATAACAAACTTCAGTGTAATAAGACACAGAATTTTTCCTTTTCATTCCAGTTACCTCTAGGTAAATTATGTACTCTGATAAGAGTACTTGGCTCCTGGCTAGATATCCAAGAGATTTAAATTCTTCTTTTGAAGATCAAAAAGACTTCAAAGGATACTTGATAGATGAAGTAAAACAGAAATCTTAAGAACATGCTTATATCAGAAAAGACATGCCAGTAATATTTCTGGAACCAAAATACCAACCTACTGACCTAATAGTTAAGTCAGAAACTTTATACTTCATATCTCTAAAACTTGAAAAAAAAATACACTGTAAATAGCAGTCCTGTGTCCTCAATTTATTCCATTCCCAATAAAACCCACCAATCCATTTATAAGTTTGAAATAATACAGCTTTACTGTATAATTAAAATAACCTCATATCAAATTCTAGATAAAAGAAGTACTAAGTGTACAAAGAACATGTTTCCTTTTCAACCTATGAAAGCAAACCTTAGTTTCAAGAGAAGGATTCAAACCAAAGAGAGCATCTTGCATGGATAAACCAAAAAAGAATATACTATAAATTAAATTACATTATAATAATAAAATGGAGGCCAGGCACAGTGGCTCATGTCCTTAATCCCAGCACTTTGGGAGGCCGAGGCGGGCGGATCACCTGAGGTCAGGAGTTC